GAAGTTAATGGAGCGACACTGATTTATGCAGAGGATCAGGCTATCAAATTCCTTATTGACATATTGGCTTGTCTGACTGTATGTGTGAACAGCACCTAGCACGTTATGGGGGCTACAGGACACAGACACAAAACTAATAGGAATAATCTTTTCAGTTGAAAACATTTTCAAGATTTGTGTAAGGAAAAATGCCTGAATGGTCTAGATGAGCAAATCCTGAGTTTAACTCTTTTACCTGGAGGCGATATATGAAATAATGCTACTTTATTTTACTGTACATAAATAAAAGTATATATTTATATAAAAAAAGGTGTTGGTATCGGTCATGGTCACAGTGCAAGCTGCAATTTAGACCACTGTGTCCCCCTCTTGGTTTCCCTAACTTCATCACTCTCTGGGTGGAACCCTGCAGTTCAACCATTCCTGGGCTGGATTTCTTGGCTGCATCCCCCGTTTATCAAACATAATAATATGGCAGGCCCAATTGTGTTCAACACCCGTAAGCCACTTTCCTTCTGGAGCCTGTGACTAGCAATTGATTGAAGTGACTCAAACGGCAGTGACTCAACAAACATTATTTATGCCCCCAAAGGTACACAGCATTCAGACACAAGGGTTCAAACAATAAATGCTTACATTCATATTTCCTCTTACCTAAACCTTAATCTTTCCTTGCGAGCTTTGGTAAGTGCCACTCAGTCTAGTTAGCTCCACCTCTGGCAGCGAGAGACAGACTGCTGCTGCCACATGCCCTCAGAGAGACTCTGTAAGAGACTCACCTTCAATCGCTGCCCACTTAGCCCCCTTCATTTTTCAAGGGGTCTTCTTTACCTTTCTAGCAACCTTGGGAAACCAGCTGTGTAACTCCCTACTTGCTGCCTGGAAAATGGCATCTTCCCAGACTCACTCTCTCGGATTTCTTTTCATGGACATTTCACCATCAGCTCAAGCTCAACAGAGCTCCATCTTCCTCCCCAAACCCTCCCCACTACCACCTTTCTCAATCACTGTGGACAACACTGCCATCCTGTCATATAGGCCCATAACCTGGGTGTCGACTCAGACCTCTCTCTAGGTCTTTACATCCAGGCTATGTCTAAGTCTTGCAAATCCTTTCTGCATAACTTTTCTAAGATACAGCCTTTCCTATCCGTCCACATAGCTAAAACTCGCATCCAAGCTCTCATCATCTCATATTTCAATTACTGTGACATCCCTTTTCTCTGGCCTTGACAAATGCAATCCTGTCCCACTCATAACCATTTACAATGCTGCTGCAAAGGTCATTTTCCTAGCCTGTCACTTTGACCGTATGACCCCTCTCTTTCTATCTCTTTACTGGTTCCCTCTTCTCTATCACAGCAAACATAAGCTGCTGTCTTCACATTCAAGACACACCATGGCCTATCCCCACCTTACCTATCATCTCTCACTCAGTAGCAGTCGAGTCCTGTCTCTGATTAGCCCATGAGGCCAGACTCCAGTGCCCACTTGTTACATTTTAAACAAGCACCTTTTTGCTTTTTCCCCCCTTTCTGCTTAGCAGGAGTTACCCGTAAATATTATCCTCCTTCAAATCCCCTCCCCCCCAAAAGCTCTCCTTTGCCACGAGGCCTACAAAACCTTAACCACAGTTAGGCTTTCATAGAAGATCAAGGTTGGAAGGGACCTCAGGAGGTCATCTAGTCCAACCCCCTGCTCAAAGCAGGACTAATCCCCAGACAGATTTTTGCCTCAGATCCCTAAATGGCCCCCTCAAGGATTGAACTCACAACCCTGGGTTTAGCCAGCCAATGCTCAAACCACTGAGCTAGCCCTCCTCCCCAGGCTGCTGGTGTGCCGAGACCACTGCTTACCCTACTGACCAATACTGTCTCATTGTTTCCTTGTACTCTCCCATTTGTCTGTATCCATCTGCTGGAACATTTTTTTGTTCTGTGTTTGTACAGTACCTAGCACAATGAGGTTGTGATCAATGAATGGAGCTCCTAGGTGCTACAAGAATACAAATAAATAAATAATAATAATAATAATATTTGGGAAAGCCTGGGCAAAGAGGAGGACTTTACTCTTGGCTCCAAGTGTGGGAAAGGTAATGGTCATTCTTATTTCTTCCCGCAGAGAGTTCCGTACTCTTGATCCAGTATCTGAGAAAGTTCTGTCTCTCACAGTCATGAACCTGCCCTTGTTGATTGACACAGTCATTGCTCCCATGGAATGCAGCTGTGGTGGGGGTCAATTCCAGTGGGAAGGATGGTGTCACAGGGACACATGGCCAATTCCACATAGGAATTGAGTATTAGAAAGTCAGGACAGTGACCCTGAACTGGACACGCTCTGATTAATGTGGAGACAATAAAGAAAATGGCATACTGAGGTCAAGTGTTCTTAGGAGCTGTTGGTGAGCAGCCAGGTATTCTGAACAAGCTGGCACCTCATCAGGAAATGGGACTTCCTTCCTAAACAAAAATAATTGCAGTAGTCCTGCCTCAGACATTAAAATGCATTCATCACTGTGGCCTGGTCTGCATTTGATAGGATTGGGCATGATCTGCTGGCCAATCTTGTACAGTAATGAGTGCTTACTACTGCACAAGATGTGATGGGCATTACTTAGTTTATGCAATGCTTTGAAGGTGAAAAGAATTAGAAGGGCTTAGTATTATTTAGAAGCTGTTTTGCTGATATACCTGGTATTTTCCTCGCTTGATCTTATTCTTGCTGAGCATATTCACACAGGGATGGTTTTTATGTTTATTGAATAGGTCCATCTTCTTCTGCTTATTCCCCATTGAAGTCAGAATCCTCTGGGACATCACAGTCAGCTCCACAACAACGACAGTCGTTTTTATTGCACAGACAGGAGATTGGGATTTCAGGTGGGGAATAAGCAGCAGAAGCAGATGAACTATACAAATAGGACTGCAGAGAGTACAGGCTAGTGTTTACATGAGGAGACTTTTTCCCATATCTTCCACTTACTTGTCATGTGACCTTGGGCAAGTAACTGAACCAGTCTTTTCAGCAATGACCCGATTTTCCATTATTTTTGGGTGGCTCCTATATTCCAGCATTGAAGCCACCAAGTCATAGATTCTGTGGAGAGAGCTCAGCAAGAGATCGTGGGGGAGAAAATTCCATCAACTGGTGCTCAGATGCCACTAACGAACGCTCTTCCCACATCCCCTCCTAAACAGCAATACAGACACACTCATTCTCTCTATGAAGAGCTGGTCTCTATAGCAAACAACCAGCCCTGAAAAAGTGTGCTATGTAGGAGGAATGAAAGCCCATCAAACAAAGGGGCCATGAGACAAATGTGAGGAGAAAGAGGAACAGAAAATAAAGGAGACATAAGAAACAAGAAAAAAGGAATCAAAGGGAAAAAAATTAATGGCAATGAGAGAAGAACAAAAATTCGACAAAAAAGAAAAATGAAGGAGGAAAACTTTTTTTCTTAACCTGGTTATTAACTTTTAATTCCCTTTGTAGTTTGTGTAAAGTGGAGATGTTTTATGCACCGTGAAGAAAGGGTGTTCCATATTGCATCACTCATTTACTGGGCAGCACATTGAGAGGTGTGCACTTCACCTCGTTCTAAGCCTCAGCATACTCCTCTATAAAATAAGGACAACCCTGCCCACTCAACTCACTGAGCTGCTGTGAGGCTTAATTCACCCTTCGTGCAGAACTTTTAGTGCTAAGGAAGTGCAAAATATTTTATTATGAAAATTTCCCTAGCAACAATAAAAATAGAGAAATAAATGCTGAAAAGCTATGATGCATATAGGCAGAGGTTTCTCTGCAGAGAACAGTTTCCACAAGGGCTTTTAGAAGAAGAGTTCTGGCTTTTTGGCTCTAACCCATTAAAATAAATTTGCACTCTCTTGTGTGCCTGCCTTCCTCTATTAAATAAGGTAAGGAGATGTCTGGACCCAAAGGGAATTAGCTACAAGTCTCCCTTCTGGCCAGAGGTATGTATATCAAAAAGACAATCAACACCAGGAGCAGCAAATAGAATGAAATATAATTAATTTGAGCAGAGAATGAAAAAAAAATAGGTAAATGGATGACTGGTCAGGAAGAAACCTGCTAAACCATGTTAGTACTTGATATCTGAATGGGAGTTAGCAGACTGCACTCTATTCCTGGTTCTGCCACCAACTCTCTCTATGACTTTGGGCAAGTCATTTGACATCTCTGTGCTTCAGTGTCCCTCATCTGTGAAATGGTGTCACGGGGTGCAGCCCTTATTGCCAAACTGGTGCCTCCTCCTGGTTGTACTGGGGATTCGCTCAAAGCTGACACCCACATTTGCAGTTTGCCCACCGTCACTCTGTCTCTGCTCCATCCAACAGCTCTTCTCTCAGCTCCCAGAACCGCAGCGTCCTCTTTGTGACTCTCATCTGTGTGTCCCCCTTCTGGGAGGAGAGAAATGTACTTGTCCAATAGTTCAGCCACCTCCCCTCTGGCCTGCCCACTACTCTGGGCCTCAACCCAGGGACCCTGTAAATAGCAGCTTCCTGCTGCTACTCAGTCAGTGCTGCTCTACTACCCTGGGCCACTTCCCCATAGCCCCAGCACCTTCTTCGCCCTCACCTCAGGACACTCAGAGTTACTCAGGCCCAGAAGCCAGCCACTAGTCTGTCCAAGGTGCTCTCAGCCACTACTCTGTAAGTTCTCTCAGCCCTCCAGGGACGCAGTGCATACTCCCTGGGCTCCCAGCAGCAATGGCCCTACCCTGCCCAGCAGCTCACTTTTATCTGAGCCTACCAGGCCCTGATTGGTTGCTCCCTGCAACTCCTCCCTGATTGGCTATGCTTCCTGCAGCCTCTCTGCCCTACTCACCTCCATTGCTCCTTTTCGGGCACGGCCTGGTTAACTCCTTTTATGCCTGTGTGGGATAAGCACCCCATCACACATGGGGATAATGATATTTACCGGCCTTTACAAATGCACTTCGAGATCTATAAATGAAACATGTAGGTATTCATACTCACCACTAGAGCTCCCGGGAGTGCTGAACTGGGAGGCGTCAAGGAACTTCCAATGTGTAGGCAAGTTGGTCACGTCAATAAGAGGTACGGGAGAGGCATCCTTCACAAGTGAACTGGGCAGGGGGAAAAAAACAAACCAACAGCTTCAAATACATTAACATACTATTGTTATTTATTACTGTAGCACTGAGGGACCCCCAATCATAGACCATGATCGTACTGTGCTAGGCACTATAAAAACATTAACGCAGACAATGCCAGCCCTGAGAAGCTTACAATCTAAGTCTAAGCCAGGAGACAACAGCTGGATACAAACAGAAAGGGAGAGTGCAAGGAAACAATGAGACAGAAGAAACACTACTACTGCAAACCCATTTAAAAAGACAAGCATAGGAGGAAACCAGGGCCCCGATCCCACAACTAGATCCACAAAGACGGCCCCCTGCCCGCAAAGTCTCACTGATTTAATATTATCCATACCTGCCTGTGTGGCTCTAGCTGCACTATCAGGACCTAAACAAATTGGATTTTGCTTCAATAAATTCCCCCTGCCCTCAAGTGCATTCTTCAGAGACCTCAAGACGTTTGATGTATTGTTTTACCAAGGGGATTTCTTGGTTATTGTAAAGGATCTTCTTCCAGCACTGACAAAATTAATTCATGCCAAAATTATGGCCAATAGGCATTAAATAGTTGATTATGATCTGGGAGTCTAACCATCCAATGAGTCAACCAGCTCTGTTACGAGAAGGGATAAAGTCCACGCCCGTGCCTTCTTCTAAGCAGCATGGAAATCTCCTCCCAGCCCACTCCACAACATCCTACCCCCTCTCCCCTCTTCCAAATGGCAGCTCAGCACACACATATAAAGTGCACATTCACCTCTTCCATGAGACCTATTACTTAGAAAGAAAGGTACTTTATTACTTTCTGCAATAAATTAACATTTATTTGTCAAGAGTGTGTCAAGCTGCCCAGCCACATAACGAAAGGCAAGAAGCTGAAGGAGGCAGGGGAAACATGAGCCAAGTTAAGAAAAGCAAAGAATGCTCCTATAATGAGGTTGCTACATTGCCTTAGGGGCCAAAACACTTACTCAACACGCATGAAAACCTCCTAAAAAATCCACATCCCCCACAGTTCAAAGGAATTAAAAAGTTGTGCATGTCAGTGTAGTGAAATTAACAACAACATTCAATTATTTATATTGCAGTAGTATTCTGAGCCCTCAATCAGGATCGGGCCTGACTTTGCTAGACGCTGTTCTATCATCAGATGACTGACTGCCCCTGCCCCAAACAGCTTACGGTATAAACAGGGATGAGGTACGACAGGAGGGTGTGTGTTAAATGTAAGAAAGGAGAGCAGGAAAGAGATAAGTGTCCCTGCAGCAAGAACACAGGATTGTCGTTTATCACCAAGTTTATATATGAGGGCAGCACGCTTTGTGTTTGTTTTTAATTAAGGGGGTGAGTGAGCAAGAGACTATGATGACTCATTAACAAGCCTCCTGCTTAGAAATTTCAACTTCAATCAACTTTCTATTTAATAATTTGTTTAATGTAATGGACTGCGCCCCCTCTATTTTGATTAACCCTTCTTACCCTTCCTGGCTTCACTACACTATTCTTTTTTCTTCCCAAAAATCAATCATAATGCATCTTTTCTCTCTGTTGTTTCCACTGTATTCCCTCTTACCTCCCCTACGCTCTATTTTCTCACTCTCTCACTTCAGAAGAATACCCTCCCCCGCCGACTCCTCAATACTTTACTTCTCTTTTCTAGCTTTTCCCATCCATCTTTTCTCACCCACCCTCCTCATACACAGGGAGTGAAATAGAAATACTGATCAGACAAATAACAGCCAGAGGACTAAAGCTAATGAGGTGTCCCAATGATCAGAAGCAACACCCAGGTGAGAAGCTACCACCTGTTACCTCACTCAAGTTGCTGTCCATAGACTCTGCTAAGAACCTCAAATTTCATGACCTCTGGCTAGAAGCTGTATGATTAGTTCAAAGCTTTCTATCCCCCCCAGGCTGCTGGAAGAGGGGAGGAAAGCATGCTCTCTCTCACTGTTCTTCCTCTTACCCCCCCGCCCACCAGAGCCTCCTGAACACTGCAGAAGGATGGGGAACATCTACTTCTCTACCCCTCCACAACCTCTATTTTTGTGTTCTCCTCTCTACTGAACAACTCTAGCTGCCTGCCTCTGTTGCTACTTTAGCATTCCTAAACATGTAGCAGAGTGAAACTACCCTATTGCCAATGTCATTGCTACCCACAGGGTTACAAATAGCAGTAATGAAAACTAACACCACTCTGGCCTGTCCTCACTGGGTTGCAGCTTGGGAATGTCTGAGTAGCAGCAGTGGAGCAGTCTATCTGCAGGCTCAAGGAGGCAGCACAGACTCAAAGTCAGAAGGGACCATCATCAGTGGTTTTATTCTCAACCACTAGAGCTAGAAATATTCCCCCACCCCCACCCCCTCACCAATGAAAGGTTAGATTCTGCAGAAGATGATAGCACTCTCTCTGGAAAGTCTTCTACTCACCAAGAGAGAAAGTGGTTCCTCCACCCACCCCCAAGTCCTGAGTTAACACTACCTGAAACCAACCTTATTTTCCCTTTCTCCTTGTTCCGTTGTCCCACACGGTTAGTAGATTTGATGTACAGATGACGGTGCAATTCATCTATTAGGACTAAGTGCATGTTCATCTTCTTACTGTGAAGCTCTAGCCTCAGATCACTCAGTCCCTCCACCTGAAGAAGAGGACCCTCTAAAGAGTCCACTGCTGATACCTGAAAAGAAAATTAAATAAATATGACAATTTAATCATCATGTTTCTAAATTTTATTAAATACTAAATGAGGACACCACTCTCCTAATCCTAAATCTTCCTCAATATCCTCAACACCCATTTCTCCTTTGGTCAAAGAGAAACTATGTTTGTTCTTTCTGGTACATAACACCACAGTGAATGCTATCCAGAAAGTTGTTTAAAGCAGACACAAATTCAAAATAAGAGAAATAGATTTTTAATTTAGTTCCTAAGAAAACAAGATGACTTGTAAAACTGACATAGATACAAACAAAATCACTGTCATGAGCACCTTCAAACTTCTCATCAGATGTTTGTGTGAAAGAAAATCTATTCTGAACATTGTTAAACAAAACCAGAGCACAGTGCCTCTTGAAATATGTTTAGCAAGTAATAAGGCTTTGAAAGTTCTGTGCTGGAAAAGTTGGTCTTAAGTCTGCTTCCTCCTCTCCCAATAGTAACTCCAGCGAAACTGACAGTCTCACATCCATTACACAATTAAACCTCCCAAAACTTCAAAGAGTAGTCACGCCATTCCCATTTTACAGATAGAGGAAACAGACATGAAGATTTTAGTTCACTTACGCAAGGTAATGACTTAGTAGCACAGCAGAAAATGGAACCCAGAAGTCTGAATCTCAGTCTCCTATTCTAACTGTTAAACCAACCAAGTCTGATTTACATGGGAATCACAGGAAGTGTCTGGTGAGAACTGGGGAAAGTACTCTAAGCTATCAAGATCTTCTAAGAGGTTAATCTTTTTGGTTTAATTAATATACAATTTCAGCATGAAAAAATGTTTTCCCTAATTTTGAGACTTTAATACAGTGACAGTGGCTTGAGTTGGCATAATGTAGGTAGGCTCCGGGCAAGCCTCTCCCACAAAACTCTGCCAATGCATTTCAAGAGAGACCAGCTAACATCTGCTGTGCACTAAAACGAGATCCCTAGCTAATTTTCAGTTGTGCCCTAAAAATGAATTTGACCACAAACCTCTCGGAATGACAAACTAGTAGATTAAAGAGACAATGTCAATTTACATTTGGCCCAGCATTTACATTTTGTAAAGCCAAGCTTTTATAAAATCTATGATCAAAAGAAACATTTCTGCAGTTGTTTTGAATTCAGAGATACACCATAGCCTTTGTAATGTTTGAAATCTAAACACCACAGCACTAAAAACCTGAAAGTGACTATCAACAAAAGTGAAACTTATTCCATAGATTTTCATCATCCAAGCTGAAAGACATGCAAATATAAAACAGCATAAATGGAAGTGGACTGAATTTTTTAAATCTCTCTCTTTTAATAATCTAAGATGCTGTTAGTAAAACAAGTGAAGACATTTGCTTACAACATAGAATTTAAATTAACAGTGTACCTGTCAGCTAGATATTAAAAATGGAAAGCAAGAAGATTTAGTAAGCAGGCAGCCAAGCTAAGGTCTGATCCCTTAATAAATATTAACAAATACAGACAACACATGGGCCAACTATGTCCTGCTTTACTTACCCCAAAATCCAGAATTACCCTGAAGCAGCCTTCAGCCATTAAGGTCTTTTATATTAATAGAGAAATTTATAAGAAGAAACTGGACTTCTCTGCTTCTGCAAGAAGTCCATACCTGTGAAATTTGCTCCCGCTCGTGGATGAGAGCGGAGGCCTGATGGCCTTTGGGGCACAGCGTAAGGCATATCTCCTTAGCCAGATAGTTTTCCAATTCTTGGTTTCTGCAGCCCGAGGTCAGAGGACTTTATCAGTGCATGGTTGTAGTTTGTAATGTTCTATTCTGCCTGACCTGTTTAGTAGAACTTATGTCTGTATTGCTGTTGAACTCTATATAGCACCCAAGTACTATGACAATGCATGCAGCATCAAAAAAAATGCGTCTGACGAAGTGGGTATTCACCCACGAAAGCTTATGCTCCAATACTTCTGTTAGTCTATAAGGTGCCACAGGACTCTATCGCTTTTTATCAAAAAAATGAAATACTAAATTTCTATTCTTAAGGGAAAGAATCAGCTAAGTCTTTGTTAAATACCCTAGAATCCTCCACTTTTATCAACCGCCATCATCCTTGGTCAGGAGGGACTGGATGGGACTCCCTCTTCTGCTGATCTGTGCTAGGGAAGGGCCTGCAGCCTTGTAGATAGAAGGCGTTGTGGACAAGAGGGAGACCATTACCCACCCTCCCTTGATAGAAGGGAGGGTGGGTAATGGTGTGCGTTGACTGTGTCTGCCGAAAGACCTTGAGCCTTTGGAGATGCTGAGTCCTTAACATCCCAGGACTTCAATGAAAGCTGGGGGTATTAGGTACCGCCCAGCAAACATTCAGCATTTCACCGGATCAGGAACAAATTCAGGCGGACCTAAATCAACAAACAGAGCTGTGAAAAGGATTGTGACATGGGAAGGGAGTGGGATGCAGTGAGGAAAAAAGAAGTAGGCACTTTGAAAGCTGACACACTACTTCTCACTCGCATCACTGGGCTCTTTTCTTCTCGCGCTTACCAAAAAAAAAAAAAAAAATGGCCATGCACAAAACTAAACTATTATATCAACATAAAACTCTCAAGCAAAGCTTTAAGAAAACAAATAGAATAGTCAATCATTAAATGTATTAATAAAAAAAACTTCCATATACATTTACTTTTCTTCTTTGGCGAAAAATACAGCAATTTTTTGGGGGGGGAAATGGCGTTTGTGACACTTCATATTTGCAGTTAGACATGCTGGAGAGTTATGCCCTTGATAATGCCACTTTCACAGTGATTGAATTCTAGAGGTAAACAACACAGCCAAGGTGCAATGTTATCCAGGCTCTGAGCCTTTTAACTAGCCACTGCCACACTTCAGTAAACCCCTATTTATTGTTGATTGCCAAGACACAAGAGGCTAAAGGGGAAAGCTTTTATTTAAAGAACAGTTTTGGTGAGAAAAAGGAAATATGGGTCTGATTCAGCTCCACTGATCCCAATGTAAAGATTCCTATTGACTTCACTGGGAGCTGGAATAAACCCCATATAAAAAACAGCATCTTCTAAAGCCTATCTTCTCCTTGTGTGGCTGCAAAGTCAAATCCCCTTTCTTTACTCACATAAAGCAGCATTTACCCCTGTTAGTACTTCAAAGCCAATGAAGTTACAGAAGAGCAAGCTGGATTCTATTCTAGTTTGCCCATCAAACACGGTTAGAACACTGGACTGGGAGTGAGTAAGAAACTAGACCAATGCAAAATCAATACAGAACACACTAAACCAGGGGTCGGCAACCTTTCAGAAGTGGCGTGCCGAGTCTTCATTTATTCACTGTAATTTAAGGTTTCGCGTGCCACTAATACATTTTAACGTTTTCAGAAGGTCTCTTTCTATAAGTCTATAATATGTAACTCAACTATTGTTGTATGTAAAGTAAATAACGTATTTTAAATGTTTAAGAAGCTTCATTTAAAATTAAATTAAAATGCAGAGCCCCCGGGACCGGTGGCCAGAACCCGGGCAGTGGGAGTGCCACTGAAAATCAGCTCGCATGCCGCCTTTGGCCCGCGTGCCATTGGTTGCCTACCCCTGTATTAAACTGATTAAAAAGTGGCTAACTAATAGTTCTCAAAATATAATTATAAACGGGGTATCATAATCAAGCAAATTTTTTTTCCGTAGTGGGGACCCTCCGCTATTGGTTTTTGGCCCTATGCTATTTAATAATCTTACCAATGACCTGGAAGAAAACAAAATCATTATTAATAAAGTTTGCAGAGGACACAAAGATTGGGGGCGTGGTAAATAATGAAGCGATCGGGTCCTGATACCAGGCAATCCAGGTGATCTGGGCACACATAAAGGCATTTTAATATGGCCAAATGTGAAGTCATACATGTAGGAACAAAGAATGTAGGCCACACTTACAGAATGGGGGACTATCATGGGAAGCAGTAACTCTGAAAAAGACAAGGGGGGCGTGATGGATAATAAGCTGAAATTGAGCTCCCAGGGCAATCCTGTGATAATGTAATCCTTGGATGTGTAAACAGGGAATGTTGAGTAGTAGAGAGGTTCTATTACCTCTGTATTTGGCATTGGTCCAACTGCTACTGAACTACAGTGTCCAGTTCTGGTGTCCATAACTCAAGAAGGACATTGATATGTTGGAGAGATTCAGAGAAGGACCATGAGAATAATTAAAGAATTGGAAAACATGTCTTTATAGTGAGAGACTCAAGGGTCTCAATCTATTTAGCTTCATAAAGAGAAGGTTATGGGGTGACTTGCTCAACCTACGCATACCTGAGTGGGGAACAAATATGTGATAATAGAGGGCTCTCCACTCTAGCAAACAAAGGTATAACAAGATCCAGACTAGAAATAAGGTGCAATTTTTTTAAAAACAGTGAGGGTAAATACCCATTGGAACAAGTTACCAAGGGTTGTGGGGGATACTCTATCACTGGACATTTTAAAATCAAGATTGGATGTTTCCCTAAAAGATATGCTCTACTTCAAACAGAAGTTAATACAGAGAAGTCCTATGGCTTGAGTTATGCAGATCAGATTAGATCATCACAATGGTCCCTTCTGGCATTATAACCTATGAATCTATGAGAATACTAGAGTTTTATTCCCTGCTGTACCACTGACTCATTGAGTGACCTTGGGCATGACACTTACACTCACAGAATGGCTACAATACTTACCTATCTCACAGGGGTTAAATGGAAAGTGGGGGGCTCAACTTTCTATGTTTCAGCCTTTGTCTAAAAAAAAAATTATCTTTTTAGTATGTAACCAAAACAACTTTCCTAATAAAAATGTATTGCAAGTTCTTTTGATCCCTTGCAGATTAGGGCCAATCTCATGATCTTTAATCTCAGAATCATGATAAGATCTGAATATATTCTTCCTCTTTTCCATGTAAATTAGAAATTTGTTGTTGTGGTGGGGTCCTTAAAGCTACTTACTACACCTCTCCACTGGTTGATGACT